ATTACAATCACACTGGAGCATTGATGTTGCGGGCGCAGACCTTGGTGACCCTTAAGGAATATCACTCACCGATCTCAACTTCACCGATCTCGACTTCCCCGAGATATGCTTTTCAAACAAAGAGTCAAGTTGATATACTTAATGATGGCTTTTGTCGGCCACCAAAGAAGATGCCCAAACTTTCATCACAAAAAGGAATGCATGTTCCCTACCCATTTTCTGAGAAAGACATAGGAAGACCCAGAAGGAAGATAAGGGTTCCTTACCATTATTTTATTATTATTTAATAGTTTATTATTTACCTTTAATCATTTCTGACCATCACGTGCATTCTGTGGTAATTTATTGTTTATCTGTAATCATTCCTGATCATGATATGAGCACTATACATAATAACTTGTTTACCTAATCTAACATTATTATTATTAGTCACATACCCACTATCCCATAATTGCCCCACGAAGGAAAATAATATATATATATATATATATATATATATATATATATATATATATATATATAAGGGGCTAAGCAGAGTTTGGCATCTGATGATGGTTTTTGTCGACAACCCCCATGCAAAAGATAGTTTATCTTTTTTATTTAATATGTTATTGATATATGTTATAATGAAAGTAACCTTTATTATTTAAACGTTATGATGAAACCTTCATCATGAAGGGACAAAAGGAAAAAATAAAGAAAGCTTTACTTTTCATTTTCAGCAAACATCATTATGTTTTCATCATTTATTTAATATTTTATTATTATTATATTATGATATTTGTTAACATGTCACCTAGTGACATATATTTAACCTAAGTACCTGTACAATATTTATTCATGGCCTAGAATATTATGATTGCCTTTAAACTATGTCACTTATACAACATGTGATTTATCACACGACTGAATAAATTATTTATTTATAGAAGGTACATAGTACAATATTTTTCCTTGATAAACTTTGTCAATTTGATTTATTCATTATACGGTCGTACTTATACTGTCATTTATTGTCAGAAATTATTGAGCAACTAGATCTACTGATCAACATTGTTGCTAATTAAAGAAGTCTACCAACTTATAGACTGATGAGCCACGTGCTCATGGTGATCTCTTGTCTGACCAGACACCCATTTGCTAAGACATTCGCTTATTGGGACACTTATGTGCCTGGACCCAACTCAATGACCCTACATATAGCCCTAACTCGATGACCCTACGTATGGCCTTGACTCAAAGACCCAACTTGAGGACCCGATCCGCGGATCAGACATATAGACCCAATATGCGAACCTGACAAGCGGACCCGAGTCATGTCGAGAATCAACTCATATTGAGTGCATGTCGACATAAAGTAGATACTTGCAATGAGGAATACCACGAGTCGAGTCGCCTTGCAGCGAGCACAGCCTCTAGTCGAGCCACCTCGCAACGAGCATCGCCTCCAACCGAGCAAACGCCTCGCCACGAGCATAGCATCTAGCCGAGCAGCCTCGCAACTAGCATCACCTTCAGCCGAGCAGTCTCGGAACGTGTGATACCTCTGGCCGAGTATTGCTTTATGTTGAGCATTGCCTTGGGTTGAGTACTGGTTCAAGACATCTAGTCACTTCGGCCCATACATGGATTGGATTTGAAGTCTCCAGCCAAAAGACTCTCTTGACTAAAGACTTGGGGGACTACTGTTGGTACCATATTATATTGGGCCTCGTTACTTGGGCTTCCAGACATTGAGCCCATGATTTATGTAAAAGGGGAGAAGCCCTTAGTCTATAAAAGAGCCTTCTCACCCTTAGAATCCTCAGGCCCCACATCTCCAAACAGAGACTCTCATATTCAGAGCAACCCTCCTACAAACACAGAAACTCTCTCAACTCTCTTCCTCTGTGAACTCAACAGAGGGCAATACCCTCACAAACACAACAACATTTTGTAATCCATACATACATACATAATCAACATCAGTGTGGACGTAGCCCAAACATTGGGGTGAACCACGATACATCTTTGTGTTCTTGGGCGTTTGCATGATTCACAGTCGGATTTACGTTGTTCTAAGACCTTCCGGTTTTGTGCATCAACATGAATGAAATTATAAACTGTGATTATGGTTTGCCATTATAATGAGAATGGTGGGTGAATGTGAATGAAATTATGGAATGAAATTTTTGAATTCATTTAATATAAATGCTTTCCGAATTGAGTTTCTTTGTCTGATGAAAAGAATTGACAGGGAAAGGTTGATAATTATAAACTTGATAGGTTAGTTTACCATTAACGCATTATGGTGTGAAATTCTGATATTTTGTTAGCCACGTTAGTCATGGCTTGAGATTTGGAATGAGGAATACCACGAGTCGAGCCACCTCGCAGCGAGCATAGCCTCTAGCCGAGCCGTCTCGCAACGAGCATCGCCTCCAGCTGCTCAAATGCCTCGCCACGAGCATAGCCTCTAGCTGAGCAGCCTCGCAACTAGCATCACCTTCAGCCGAGCAGTCTCGTAACGTGTGATACCTCTGGCCGAGTATTGCTTTATGTTGAGCATTGCCTTGGGTTGAGTACTGGTTCAAGACATCTAGTCACTTCGGCCCATACATGGATTGGATTTGAAGTCTCTAGCCAAAAGACTCTTTTGACTAAAGATTTGGGGGACTACTGTTAGTACCATATTATATTGGGCCTCGTTACTTGGGCTTCCAGACATTGAGCCCATGATTTATGTAAAAGGGAATGAGCCCTTAGTCTATAAAAGGGCCTTCTCACCCTTACAATCCTCAGGCCTCACATCCCCAAACAGAGACTCTCATATTCAGAGCAACCCTCCTACAAACACAGAAACTCTCTCAACTCTCTTCCTCTGTGAAACCAACAGAGGGCAATACCCTCACAAACACAACAACATTTTGTAATCCATACACACATTCATAATCAACATCAGTGTGGACGTAGCCCAAACATTGGGGTGAACCACGATACATCTTTGTGTTCTTGGGCGTTTGCATGATTCACGGTCAGATTTTCGTTGTTCCAAGACCTTCCGGTTTTGTGCAACATGAATGAAATTATAAACTGTGATTATGGTTTGCCATTATAATGAGAATGGTGGGTGAATATGAATGAAATTATGGAATGAAATTTTTGAATTCATTTAATATAAATGCTTTCCGAACTGAGTTTCTTCGTCTGATGAAAAGAATTGACGGGAAAGGTTGATAATTATAAACTTGATAGGTTAGTTTACCATTAACGCATTATGGTGTGAAATTATGATATTTTGTTAGCCACGTTAGTCATGGCTTGAGATTTGGCGTGTGACTTTGTCAATGTGAGATAAGTTAGTTCTATGACTGAGACTATCTTTAAATTGATACATGAATTGGTTGCATAATCTGTTTTGGTGAGAAATTGGGAACAAATTGGTTGAATTATTACTATCTTATTCATTGTGTTGGAGTATGTGAAAGTTTATAAAAGTTGCTATTGCACAACTTAACCAATAAATGATCTTAATATCGATGCTCGTCTCACCGTTATAACCTTGATTCAAAACAAATTGGTTGAATGTGGCATGTTGACTAAAGTTTAACCCTTCATTTGTAAGAAAGAGAATAACCACTGCCATGATAGCTATTCTTGATTCAAAGATTGTTTTCACAACGTTCACATTGATACCTGTGATCTCGTTCCTTGTGTAGTAAAATATGATGTAGGTATGCTCTGAAAACAACACTAAACGAATGTCAAATTTTGTTTTTGAGCAAAAGTAAGCATATAATAGATGATGGAAATAATTTGAGTCAAATTTGATCAATGACTCATAATTTGGTTCATTTGTGATCACTTGGTATTCTTCTTTCCATTACCTAGTGATGTGAATGGAAATTCCAATAATTTTGGTTGGAATTTTGGAACTTGATTTGTCAATTTTAATGGTTGGTTGAAATTTTAATATTCATTTAGCCAACAAGACTTATGGCTTAAGGTTGATATTATTTTGCAAGGGAATGTGGCTAGAAATTTTGAGAAAGAATCGTAGTTACGACTATGTATAGTTAATGATGGTGGATGGTTTACCAATGATTGTAATTATTATGTTACTATATGTCTAACCAATAGTAAATGTGATTTGATTATTTAGTAATGTTTATACCATATTTAGGGCCCCGTATTTAGACCTCGTATAAATACTCGGGGGACTCAAATGTAATTATGCAATAAGGGAAGGGGCAAATATGTAATAAGTGAGGAGTCCTTATTCTATAAAAGGACTCATCATCCTCACAATTAGGGGGGGCTCATTCTCACCCTCAGATGCCATTTCTGAAGCCTCCACACATCCCCTAAGCTATCTCTCCCTCTTCAACAGAGAAATATAATACAATCAGTGTGGACGTAGCCCAAACCTTGGGGTGAACCACGATAACTCTTGTGTCATTTACATTTTATGCAGATTCACGGTCGGATTTACGTTGTTCCAAGACTTCCGGTTTTGTGCACCAACATTTGGCGCCGTCTGTGGGAATCGACACAAAAAGCTATGTCAGTTCTCTTCCATTTTTTCATCTCACCACCGTGAGACCTCACCACACTCCACCCTGAAATCTGCAAAAACCCAAACACCCAAAGCTTTCCCAGAAAACCCACTGAGCCACCTCCTCTTTGACTCAGTCTCTCTCTACAATTGCAAGACAAAATTCGTCATCTGCTTTGCCGACATAAATTTTTTTTAGTGTCATATCTGTACGACTCCAACAGTCGGAGTGGTGAAAATTGAGATCCATTCAACCGAATAAACCAGACTCTTGAGTCCCAATTGCCCAACCTTTCAACCAAAAAATAGCAACAGAATATAACAGAGTTGTTCATCATCTTTTCTGTAACTTTTTAATGTACCAGAAAATCACAGACTCCACACCAAAACCTCACAAAAAAGAAAGAAAAGTAAAAGATCCATTATGTTTCTTCATGGGTCACCCAAGTTTCTCCAGATTATTACAATGTCGTTCAAGAAAACCTTAATCGAGCGCCTGTTCAACATCTTCAAGGCGTCAACCCAAACCCTCGGAGAGCCGGATTTCGTCGTCATCAGACTCCTAAGCCCTGTAAGACCGGAATCGCCCCCCAATCCTGAAGACAATGCCGTTTTCAGGAGGTTCCTCCACAAGAGATCGTCGGCGGGGAATTTCCAGAAGCAGGAGATCTGGTTTTTGCCGTTTTTAGGAAGTTCCTCCACAAGAGGTCATCGGTGGGGAATTTCCAGAAGCATGAGATTTGGTCTTTGCCGATGAGGGCAAACCTGATGGAGAAGCTCAAAGTCGTGGTCATCGGCTTGGACCGGATTCGATTGGACGGTTTGGCCCCGCCAGAACCCGCGTCGAAGAGCTCGCCGATGGAGAAATCGGGATTAACAATGGAGGAAACGAAGAAACTGCTGAGGGTGGCCCAGCTGGAAGCCGTGAGATTGAAGCTTCGAGAAGTCCAGAAAATCTGCGTATCGTATCCGGAGTTTCGTAGGGATCTGCCGGGAAGGTTGCGCAGATCTGCCATGGATCCACCAACTATCAGACTGGGAACCTAGGGTTAGGGTTTTGCGTGCTCAAGGTTCAAGTTCTAGCTGCAACAATGGCCAGGTGCAGAAGCCGAAGCAGAAGCTACAGCCCTCGTCGGCGCAGTCGGACTCCGTCTTGCGGATGCAAGCAGCACTCTGCCATTCTCTCACTGCCGGTCACTCTCACGCTCACCGGAAAGTACGATCTCACCATCACAGACCCTTTTCTGAAAGGAACAGCTGGTTTAATGGTCCGCGACAAATGTCTCTGGCGAGGTCTCGGTACTCACCTTCGAGGACAACAGAAGCGCGACGAGCTCCGGGGAGCCGCGCTGGCGAGAGGACAACTCTTGCTGCTAGTGGCCCTGAAAACTGTTTTTTGACTTTCCAGAAGATGCTGTAAAGACAAGTCATGCCCCCGCCACTTGCAATTTGCAAAGTTAAGCAAAGTAAAGAGAACTTCACTTTACTTTTGTCTGCCATCTGCAAAGGCTAATTCACTTGGACCTCAGCAAGAGAATAATAAATGCAGTGCGTTGGAAAAGAGGAAAAATAAAAGCAGAAAGCAAAAGCAAGGAATAAACACACTACCAGAATGATGTGATCTACTTTTCTTGTTTTTGTATGATGAGATTTATTTTTATCTTTCGAAGACATCTGTATAAACCCTATCAGAGGGTAATATGTATAAACCCCATCAGAGGGTAACTAAAAAAAAAAAAAAAAAACGGCAAAGCCCAAAAGAAATGGGCTAGCATGTTGTGGAGGGCGAAGGCCCATAAGCCCAAAATAGCACAAACTAGGTGATCAAAAGTACGCCTAGTACTCCACAATTATTCGACAACTTGCCGCTATTACTACCAACCAGGTGACCAAAAGTACGCCCAGTACTCCAAAAATTATTCGGCAACCCGCCGCTATTACCACCAACCAGGTGATGAAATGTACAACCTGTACTCTAATATCATCTGGCAACTAGCCATTCATGCCACCAACCAGATGATGAGATGTACAACCCATACTCTAAATTGGCAACTAGCCATTCATGCCACAACCAGGTGATGAAATGTACAACTCGTACTCTTCTTCATGCCACCAACCAGGTGATCAAAAGTACGCCTAATACTCCAAATTATACATGAGCATTACTCATATCATTCATACATAAACATTCATGAGCATCACTCACGACAATCATACATAAACATTCATGATCATCATTCATGTCAACATTCATGAGCATCACTCATGTCAACATTCATGAGCATCACTCATGACAACATCCATGAGCATCACTCATGTCAATCAACATAAACATTCATGAGCATCACTCATGTCAATCAGCTTCAAAAGCTTCATTTACATAGCTCTAGCTTCGAAAGCTTCATTTACAAAGCTCTAGCTTCGAAAGCTTCATTTACAGAGCTCTAGCTTCAAAGCTTCACTTACAAAGCTTCAGTGCAAGGTATACAAATACCGCCTCGGAACCACCGCCACTTCGGCCCATACATGGATTCAATTTGAAGTCTCCAGCCAACAGACTCTATTGACCGAAGACTTGGGGGACTACATTATGTACCATATATTGGGCCTCAACTGGGCCTTATGAAAATACTTGGGGGACTCTAGCCCATTATTCATATACTGAGGAGCGAACCCTTATTCTATAAAAGGAACTCCCTCACCTTCATTAGAGAGCACATGGCCTCAACTGGGCCTTATGAAAAATACTTGGGGGACTCTAGCCCATTATTCATGTACTGAGGAGCGATCCCTTATTTTATAAAAAGGACTCCCTCACCATCATTAGAGAGCAACGCCGCCAGCTGAGCAACCGCCTCGCCGCCAGCATCAACTCTAGCCCATTATTTATGTATTGAGGAGCGAGCCCTTATTCTATAAAAGGGACTCCCTCATCACCATTAGAGAGCATCGCCGCCTACTGAGCAACCGCCTCGCCGTGAGCATCAACTCTAGCCCATTACTTATGTATTGAGGAGCGAGCCCTTATTCTATAAAAGGGACTCCCTTACCACCATTAGAGAGCATCAACTCTAGCCCATGATTCATATATTGAGGAGCGAGTCCTTATTCTATCTATAAAAGGGACTCCCTCACCTTCAAACACCGCAAGCTGAGCCAACCAAGGCAACATAAGCCACGAGCCGAGTAGCCTCGCAACGTGTGCTACTTCTAGTTGAGCGTCATTTCAGATTGAGCACTGCCTCATATCGAACATCAGTTTAAGACAACATCTGGTTACTTCGGCCTACACATGGACTGAATTTCAAGTCTCCAGCCAAAAGACTCTCTTGACTGAAGACTTGGGGGACTACTGTTTATACCATATTTAGGGCCCCGTATTTAGACCTCGTATAAATACTCAGGGGACTCAAATGTAATTATGCAATAAGGGAAGGGGCAAATATGTAATAAGTGAGGAGTCCTTATTCTATAAAAGGACTCCTCATCCTCACAATTAGGGGGGGCTCATTCTCACCCTCAGATGCCATTTCTGAAGCCTCCACACATCCCTTAAGCTCTCTCTCCCTCTTCAACAGAGAAATATAATACAATCAGTGTGGACGTAGCCCAAACCTTGGGGTGAACCACGATAACTCTTGTGTCATTTACATTTTATGCAGATTCACGGTCGGATTTACGTTGTTCCAAGACTTCCGGTTTTGTGCACCAACAAGTAATTATTTTAAGTTATGATGACTGCAGCTTGATGTTGGATAAATATTTTGCCAATGTGTATGGCTAGAATTTCTAATATTTATTCTGCAATAAATGTTGCTAGGAATCTGAGTATATGGGTGAGAATCATGATGATCTATTCGTTAATTTATTTGTTTTGAGTTGAATAAACTCGTAGACTGAGGTTATGATCTTATTCACCATAAATGGAATATTGGGAAATGCTTGTAATTACAAAATTGGTTGGTATGGTTGCCAGAATTATGAGTATACTGATGAATTCTTGTTAGTAGTGGCATTCTTTATGATTGTGCGAAGATTGGTGTTGAAGTTGTGTTGAGAATATGAAAATTGTACTTGTGAGTTGTGGTTCAATGTTGTCGAACTTGTTGATACCCAAATTTGAGTATAATGAAAGTGTGAATGTCATTCGAGCATTGTTATTTGTTGATATGCGGTATTGGTGGTTTTGGAATTGGTATTGAAATTTCGGGGACGAAATTTTTTTAGGGGGGGAAGAATGTGAAATCCTGTTCTCGGATTTCACTATTTAAAATTACATATTTTCGTATTATAAATTTTATTGCATTATATTACGATGTATGTTTTTTTTTGGAAGCACATCGATCGTATAATGTTACCTAGTCATTTTGCCGAAGTTACAAAGTCATTTTGCCGAGTTCCTTCGATAGAGGTGGAGAAACAAAATAAACCCAATCTCTAACAATCTCTCTCTCAGTTCTCTCAATTTATTTAATATATTTTAGATTTTGAATTTGTATGGTTACCTAAGTGAAGAGAATAAATAAGTATGGTACAATTACGCAATTTAATCAGTACTGCTCAGTTACTATGAGTTTGCAAGACTAAATAAGGTCTAGTTGCTAGTTTTGCACATGCTCTTTGTATTAAATTTGTTCTCAATATATGTAATCATATGGAATCCTAAACTATATGTTTTTATCCATAGGCAACTAGTTTATATGATTAATTTATTCAAACTCTTATTGCACGATGACCAACAAATATGAAAAAAAAAATTAGGGTAGATATTCACACTGTCATGAAGTGTTACTAATTTACGTATTATATTACAAATGAATGACAACGTTAATATTTCATAAACCATTTTATGATAAGGAGTAGATCAGTTAGACAACTTGCTCTAGTTAAATAATTGATTAAGCTTAATTAAGATCATTTAGAATGAGGATGAGCCCAGGTGGGAACTAGGAGGGATGGACATCGATGGAAGCAAATTTCAGATATTATAGTTACGTGGGAGCCACTGCCATTTGCTTTGAGAGACACACACACATGAATACTTGATGATTGTGTGGAGTAGGTAAAAGCCTCAGAGTCTGATAGTCTAAAAGTTGAGGCAAATGAAACCAACCAAAACCAATTGTGTCCTATTTTTGCACGAACTTGGGTCGGGTTAGGCAGGATTAATTTGTTTGTTTGAGTAGTTGGGTTTCTGTCCGTATGATCCTGCACTTTGCAAAATCCAAATCTCCACTCGATCAGATGCATCTCGATCTCATTCACTTACAGAAACTCAGATCTCATCTCCTTTCCTTTGCGCATCAGTCATCACCCCCATCACCGGTCAATTGTTATGTGGGTCGTCTTTTGCTTCTTTTGAGCCTAATCAAAGAAAAGGCCAAGAAGAAAAAGGACATGCATCTTTAAAGGAAAAGGAAAAGGCCCCAAGAAGAGAAAACAACGTGTCTATAATTAATATTGTTCGACTCGTCACATATAAAGATTAAAATGTTATTTATCTTTTACGTGTAAATTACAGTCCAACACATAAAAAAAAAAAAAAAAAAGTAGAAAATTACAGTAGGCATATAAAATTTGTGATGTATCTATAACGAAATAACTCTGTACATGTAATATGATGTAAATATGTTGGCATATAAAGTAGCAAACCAAAACCGAAAACCACCATTCAAATGTTCTGGGAAAAAACAAACCGACCATCAATTTAGTGCAGAAACATGCAGTCTGTCTACATGTGAAAACTGCCCCCCAATCATCCGTGGCAGTTATTATTTAATCAAAAGATCCACTTATATATATATAAACCACAATCATAAGTATATATTTTATCAAGGGTAAACTGTCATTGAGAGCATGTGGGATGCAATAAACAAGCTAAATTAATCAATAAACTTATGTAAAAAATTAAAAATATTAAAACGAACCCGAAGCTAGGGATATCAAAGGGGGATGAACTTCACACTGAATGAAAATTTTACATCAGAATAAGTGCTCAGACATAACAGAGCATTCTAAGTTTCTATAACAATTAACTATTAAACTATTGGTTTGTGTTAAACTATGGTGTTGTTGAGAGTTCAAGGAAGGCAAAACCCTACTTAATTAAAAATTAAGAATCCCTTTTCTTACTTACGATGTTAGCAACATGACCGTCTTGGTTTACTAGAAAAACACATTATGCAAAGAAGATCATGTGCCCACTAATATGGCAAATATTGCTGCTGCATTGAGACTGCAATTTGTCAAATTTGATAATGCAAGTAGTTCATATAAAACTAATTACATTTTATATGTTCCCATATAGGAGGTGTGTGGATGCTTTTGTCAACTCATGATTAGAATCAAAGCATCACTAATGAGGTTTTTATATTTATCAAAATACGGTTTGATGCCGGGATGGATCGATTTAACTATACATTTAGAGTATCAATTTCACATGTATCGAAGAAATAAGAGATTTTGCATGTGTTTACAAGTAATTGGATTATCAACTTACTTATACGCCCTTGCAAGGGCTCATTTCACTGGTGTGGAACTCTTTAACTTTCACAACTTTACATGTCCCTTCATGTGTGGCTAATTTTCAAGCAAACATGTGGACAACATGAATTGGGTGACGTGGGGCACGTGTGACCGTTGGGCCTCATGTGGGCTAACCTGTTTTGATGCCATGAAGAAAGTTGAGGTTTTAGTATTAAACCAATTGACAATATGAAGAATAACCGAATTTACTTATAAGCCCTCATAAAATTTCTCCATTCATAAATAAAGGACTCTTTAAACCTTCACATCCTGACATAATATATGAGCATATATAAATGTATAAATACTGCAATAGATTTGGCTGTCTTGGTCAGTCTTTGTGCCTACCATTGCATGTGGGAGTCACATAAGTGTGAGATAATAATGGATAATTAGGCCTGTCCCATAGTCATGTATATCCCTTGCAGAATTGGGTTCGGAGTGCTGGCTCACTTAGTCAGTCGCTCACAAATGTTACAGATTAGTTATAAAGATGAATTGAAGCAACAACTAGACTGAATATGCATGTGACAGACTGACAGGTGAAAAACAATTGGGGTAGGAACTTTTCAATAATGAGGCACGATGAATGCTGAATGATTGTTCAATTAAACATAACATGTATATTATAAATAAAAAGTTTGTAACACATTTTATGTTTTAACGCAACAATGCATCTAACCTATCCATGCAAGTATTAGTGTTACATAAAAAATAACAAAAATTTAGACGTGAACTTCATGTCACGTGAGAGGATAAGTAACAAAGATGTCCACTTAATCCATAACATCTACTACATACTTTGAATTTACTAACAAAAACTTGTAACAGACGTTATGGTTTAATGAGACAGTATTGCCACTCATCGTGCCAAGTGACAAGGAAGTCCCAGCCCAAACTTTCTAAATTGTCAGGTAAAGAAAGGAGCAACGAAATTTGTTAAGTTGCATACATTTTGGGAATCAGATAGGCATGCAGTTTATTAAACAAAAATATTATAATGCAACAAAAACTTATAACATGTGTAAGTTTTAACTAAACAATGTATGTTACTCATCATGTCACGTGATATACATTTGTTAACCTAATTTTTCTCGTATGACATGCTAAGAATGGGTAAAGTAATTGGATAATTGCAGAATGATCAACATAAAGATTGTAACGCTGTGTAATGTAATAGTAAAGTGACCCAAAAGTCAATTAGGCCAATGAAAGGCAATTTCATAACTTATATAACAACCATAGAGAAGAAGAAGAGGAGAAAGAGTAAGATGGACAAAGCAAATTCCATAATATACGTCACATTCAGAAAAGTGTTCACGTGTAGAGAGTCCAAGGGAGAGAGGGGTGGGGGAGGAGAGAGAGAGGGTGTGTTTGGGAGCGTGCGCCATGTGCGTTGTTGCAGTCGGCGACCTTGCTGAGATGATGAGATAAGAGAATTTAAAAACCAAAAAACTAAAAAATTAAAATTAAAATAAAAGAGTGATGTTCCTCTAATCTCCAAAAAGCCCATCTCACGGATCTTGCCCCACTCTTCCTCTCCACTCCTATATATACACACTATCTTATATAACTATTGTGCCATATCCTCCTTACGCAGCTCCTGCATAAAAAGCTAGGCTTGAGAGAGATTTCAGTCGTCCTCTTCGTTCAGACTACTGTATTCTAAACATAACATTTTCATTGGAGAACGCCAAGTTTTAACAGCACAAATGGCTTCGTGGAAGAAAACTATTACAACTCCATTCAGGAAAGCTTGCACTTACTTCAACCAGCAGCCAGGAGGGAGAGAGCAGAAGAAGTCTCAGCTTCAAGGTATATACATACATATTACATCACTTTTCATATGTGCCGGAAAGTGTTGACGTTCTCTTGTCAGACTGTGAATTTAAACGGTCGATTCTTGTCAGAATATGCGGTTCAGATTAACAGTTTGGATATACACTCGTTTGGCAAGAGAATGTTGCTCTTATATAATATCATCATATGGATATTGATGTGAATTGTGTATACGAGTCATGTATGGGAACATAAGAGTTGATGATTTCCATGGTACTTAATTTGAACAGGGAGTGAAAGTAGCGTGATGGCTCTGCATGGTGAAGTGATGGCATGCTCATATGAAGATGTTCAGGTGATGTGGTCTATTCTGGACAAGTCCAATGCCTCAGCCTGCAGCATCACTTCTTAACATATATAGATGGCTATGGCTATCGATAATTGAGGCCAAAATCTATCTCAAAAATCATAAAAAACAAAGAAAAGAGAGAGCCCACGTCAGCAATTAGCAAATATGTGCATACAATTTGGGTCAAAGCTAGCTGAAAGTAGAGAAAAAGAAGGGGGGATTTGTGAGGCTTTTAATTGTAGAATTGCCCCCATTACAAGAAAGGTATTTTGTTTAGTTTGTAATTTGTTAAATTAACGAATAGGCTAATCCATGTGATAAACATCACATTGAGATTATTAATGGAAAATTTAGATGAAGTATTTTCATTTTCTTCTTATCTTCTTCTTGATTCTCTTGGTTTCTTTGTAACTACCACCTTACCTCTTCTTCCTGGTCCTCATTAAGAAGGCTTTTGCATTATTTTAAGAAAAATTGGAGACGTTAAGGAGAAGAATTTCAAGCTACCCATGAGATGTTATATAAAAAATAAAGACAAAATTAACTATACATGATAAGTTTGTGATACCACTACTTTAACGGCCTTTTTCACGTTACTCCAGTTCCAATTGATCCATTAAACCCAAAATAAAAAACAAATTTTGCATGATCAACTGACTTGTTTTGCTTTATAGTCCATTTTATTGGTTAGAAAACTAATATAATATCTTAATTTGATGATATTATAGATCAGAATTTTTTGTATTGGCAACTGAATATATTAAATCTCCTTCACCAGTTTCTGTAAATCCATATAAATTAACAGGACAAATCAAACAAGGTGCAGGGAATTCTGATGAAAATATCAAAAAGCTTCCAACTACTTTTTTCAGCAGTTTAATAAAATCCAACACATTGCTTTTGTAATAAATATCTTGTTCTTCTTGTTGTACTTGCTAGAAAACAAATTTACTACCCAACATCAAAATTTCGCATCTACTCCATATGACACAAATGAATATGCCATCCATGACATCGAATACAAACGGTTCGTTTGAAAACCCAAATTTTATTTTATAATAATGAGGAAATTTGTTTGGCAATTTTCTTCATTTTTCATTTTATGCAGAATTTAGAAATGACTTCTTTCTTTTCTTTTTCGTGTTGTTGAATTGTGAATTTAAAGTTATAGAACAAAAAGACACGTGAAAAAAAAAATATGGCCTTTTTTAATTTTTTGGGTTCGGATGACTTTTGGTGAACTTTGTTAGATCCAAAGGTTGGTCTGAGGCACTCGAGGCCTGAATTTGATTCACTCGAAACCAAGAGTTGTGCGGCCGGGTCCAAGTCGACCCAAATGCTAAGTTTTGAGTTTGGAGTGCGTTGCACGTTTTGTGACGTAGAATTGGTGCTGAGGTCCAAACTAATGAAATAAAAAACTTGACTGATTTTAGGGAGATTTCAAAAAATTGAAAAGTGACACAATTTTTTATTTTGTCATCCGTAAAAGGAAAACTGAAAACTGAAAAAGAAAGGGTTATAGAACAATGTCAAAACTTGCAGATGACAATTTTACGTAATGACAACAAGCAATCATACATATGTATTATGATGCGAGTTCAATTTCTACCGATTTTTCTCTAACAACTAACTATTAATCTACCATACACTATCGTTTGTTAGAATAATGTCATAACTTACGTCCATGATTGTCTAACGTTGGATTTGAACTTTTAATGCAAGGACAATTCAAAGTTTGAGATTGTTTTTCAGTTATATAAAATAAAATAAAAAATCGAACTCTTGACCTATCTAACCTTAACTCATTATCCCATCCACCGTCACCACCTAAGCTGACCCCAAGATCTTGAAGAAGCTATAAGTTCTCCATGATTTGATGACATCGAAGTTTTGGATAAGTAGATTATGGTGATATAAAAATCAAGACGAGAGTCATGAATTTTTTTTCTTTATTACTCATTCCCTTCTCAAGAAAACAAGACTAAAAACCAAAAACATGACACATGCATTTGTTATCACCGATTGAAAACAGGTTAACAGCACACAATATCGATTAAATAAATCTTATACAATCTGTCCAAAACAAATAATGGAGGAACAGTGAAGCACAATTTCTGGATGAAACTGGTGGAACAAAGAAAATGTACCTTTGGATCAAAAGTGCAAATCCAGTACAACAATGCCGTCCTCCAAATTGTTTGTGTCAGGCAGTTACAGTATTTGATTTCTTAGTCGGTGGCTTTACAAAAAGGCCACACAAATTGACTCATAATTTGAATTGATTGATTTCAGGAATCAAAGCAGGGAAATTTGATATATAAGTAGGCTCCATAAGCCTTGATTGATTTCAGGAATCAAAGCAGGGAAATTTGATATATAAGTAGGCTCCATAAGCCTTGATTGGGGTTCTGGATCGTCACTACTTTCACACCGGTGAATATCACCGACAATGCAGGTGCAGGTCATCTCAGTTGATCAAAGCAGTGCGTCCACCTCTCCACTTGCATTCACTCGAGTTAGAATTATCATTCCTCTTTGTAAAGTAGAGTAGGTTTAGAATATCAATTTGTCTGAATAAAAAAGTGCCACCAACCCTTTTCTTTTTCAAACATCACTAACACTTGGATGGATGGATGGATGTGAATAATGAGTGAATCTGTCTTCTTCTTCCTTTAAAGATCAAATTGTCCTATTGCGGAAAGTGGAGAAATGAGGATGATATCCTAAAGTTTGTAATGAAGGCTAGATGCCAAGCAAATTTTTTTTTAATTTTTTAATTTTTATAAGCATTTGAGTGCGCAATATAAGCTGAATGAATAAAGGGGAAGAGTGCGTCAGTGTGTTATCCGGTTGTCGTATGCCATTAAAACTCAAGAAAAAATTTATATAGGACAACAATAAGGCCAGCGATGCTTTATGAAACGGAATGTTGGGTGTTCAAAAAGCAACACGTGCAAAAAGATGTGTGGGCACACAAGATGGATAGGATTAAGAAAGAGGATATCCAGGGTAAAGTAGGAGTGGCCGCAATTGAAGATAATATAAGAGAAAGTCAGTTAAAATGGTTTGGACAAGTGAACTCGAAGACCTACAGGTGCTCTGGTTAGAAGATGCGACTATTAGACAGAGGCTTAGGGAAAAAAAGGTAGAAGAAGACTTTGAAAAAGATTATAAGAAAATATATGTAGTAATTGGAGCTAACGGAAGACTTGGCGCACATGCGCAATAACGTTCTAAGATTCATATAACTTACCCTACTTAGTGGAATAAGGTTTGGTGGTGGTGCTTGTAAGCATTTGAGTGCACAATGTGAATTTGGGAATGCCTACAACTGTTGTGTACAACTGACCTCTCACATCCAGCTCTTAACGTGCTGATCACGTGACAATAGATTTGAGAGGTCGGTTGTATGTAACGGTGTTGTAAGTAAGAATTCATATATGGAGGGCCTTTACAGGGTTTGAGCAATGAACTTAAAGAGCCAGTATTGGTGTCAAAATGACCAGCGAGTTTTCACTAGCTAGAGAATTCAGACAGACATCTGATCTAGCTTGTCAACTACAGGTACCCTATTTCATGTTACAATTTACATCAGTCACATAATTCAGAATCCCAGCTAGTCGCTTACAGATGCCCTATGTAAGTTGTATCAGTTCCAACATGTTACTAGCATCACAAGCAGAACATGCAATATATACACACACACACACACACACATACATGAAGAATGAAGTAAACAGACCTGCACCAATGGGAGCCATTTGGTTAAGTGAATGGCAGGGTGTCTTCTCCTTTCTTCTAGCAGAAGAGTTCCAGCAAGTAATAGGGATTGCTCGAGTAATGGAACATGGTCTAGAAAGAGCAGGGACATCCTTATTATAGCTCTTAGGGTTTCCTCCAATACCGCCTATTATGGTAATTGGATTGATTCCTCTAATCACCATTTAATCCATGTATTGTCCTACCAAGGCATGTACTGATATCTTCCTTAATTAGGTCTTTCCAATAGTCAACTAATGAGCTAACAATTCCACGATGCATGCTAATCACAATGAAGGCTGATTACTTGCAAGGCTGATTACTTGCCATGCAAGTAACATCCTTCTAATTGTGATTCGAAACACAACACTGGACAATTCAACATGGTTCTTACATTCTCCCACTTTGAGTGTCAAGTGTTTTAATTTGATTGCAACATGTATCATGGTGATCACTGAATTATTAGCACAACGGTTGTCCCTAAACAGGCATGTCCAAAATCGAAACACAGAACTATGGAAACTCAAATGCATATCTTTCTGCATTCTTGCTCCAGAATTATTGGTGCATGATCTCAGTGCATGACTGCAGATTATGCTAAGGTGTATGGGACTGATTATCTTGATATCAGTTTCACCCATTTCAATAATCAAGCTTTAAGCATAAGTTTTGGCTCACAACATCTATCGACAGCTAGTTTATGCAAGAGTATGAACAAAACAATAATCATCATGACAAATTATTGGATGAATGCATAACAATTGATAGAATTTAGATGATGAGTGGTCTAACCATTACTCCCACTCATTTGCAGATTCAAATGTTTCATGAACTCTCATGTTATAAACATGTTTCTTGAACACTCCCACTAGCAAAGCCTTTGTCATGGGATCAACCAGCATGTAATTTGTGCCAACGTGTTCAGTATCCACAGTCATCTTCCTTATTTCATCTCTAACTTTCAGATACTTCATATCCATAAGCCTACAAGCTAGTGACCCTTTGTCATTTCTTGAGAAGAACACATCTGCTTTGTTGTCACAAAATAATTTCAATGGTCTGTGTATTGAATCAACCACTCTCAAGCATTTGATAAGATTTCTCATCCATATTGCTTGCTTGGTCGCAGTGTAACATGCAATGAACTCTACCTCCATGGTGGAAGTGGCAATTGAAGATTGCTTCTTGCTCTTCCATGACACTGCTTCATTTGCTAGCATGAATATGTATCCACTTGTAGATTTCCTGTCATCTATGCAGCCAGCTAAGTCTCCATCACAGTAGACCACAATTTCAAGATTCTCCATATGACTGTAAACTAGCATGAAATCTCTTATCCTTTTCAAATATCTTATTACTTTCTTGCCGCCACCCAGTGAGTTGTACCAGGATTTGATTGAAACCTACCTAGTACACTCACATCAAATGACAAGTCAGGTCTTGTGCAAACTTGTGCGTACATCAAACTTCCCAGATGCAAAAGGCTTGTCTTTCATACTTAGCCTTTCTAGTTCATTTTTAGGGCCATGATCACTATTGAGTTTGTCACCCTTGCCTATAGGCATCTCTCATCCCGAGCACTTTTCCATATTGAATCCCTTGATGACTTTGTCAATAT